CCGCCTCGGGCGCATCGAGGCCAGCATGTGGCAGACCTACCAGGCGCTTCCCAAGAACTCGGCGGGGCGGCTGGGGCCGCGGGCAGTGCGCCACATCATACACAGCTACTTTGCCAAGGAGCACGGCTGGCTCATCAACGGCCTCGAGCACCACGGCATGCAGCAGAACGTGTCGGAAGTGCACGAGGTCGACATCCTGCAGGACAAGGCCCCCGCGTTCGTGGAGGCGCTCCTCGAGGCACGCCGCGCCGGGCACGGGCTGTCGCTGGACGACGTCGTGGCGATGGCCGCGGCGCTGGAGAGGCTGATCGTGAACGAATCGCTGGACCTGCTCCAGACTGCGTACGTGCTGAACGAGCACACCGTGGCGGACAAGATCGACGCCCGCGCCCTGCACCAGGTCTTGTCCTCGTACCTCCTCATCTTCGAGCTGGGCACCCACGGCAACGGCACGGACGTGCAGCGGCACCGGGCCATCAAGAACGCCGTGACCAGTGCGGGTGGCAAGTGGCCGGTGCTCGCAGCATTCGGGGCCGACGCGGTGCGGAACCACGACTTCGAGAGCCGCCACCGGACGAATCCCTTCGTGGAGAGGACGTACGGCTTCGGAGAGGCGTCGCGGATCGTCGAGGGCCTCGCGCAGGACTACGGCATGTGGCAGAACATGGAGTGCCGCCAGATGAAGGAGGAGCTCGTGAGCCTGGACCCCGACGGGTCGGGCCACGTGCCGCTCAAGGTCTTCTACTCCCAGCCGCCGACGGCCGACTACCAGTTCACCGAGTCCGTCGAGTACCTGCGCACGGTCGGCGCGCTCGACGAGTCCACGGGCAGCGTCCGCATAGCGAACTACATGGCCGGGCCCTCCAACTGCATCGCCAGGTCGACGTACTACTCGGTGTGCTGCCTCAGCGACTGCGAGGGCATGATGAACGAGCTGGAGGGCAAGATCCGGGCGCCCGCCGCCGAACCAGAGCACCTGCTGGCGGTGATCGGCAACCTCTCCACGGCCTCGGCCGAGATGCTGCTGCCGCAGGCCGCCGCGGCGTCGCGGCTGCGCGAGATCGCCGGCCGCAGCGGCGGGCAGGTGCCCCTGCACGGCCGGCTCTTCGCCGAGTTCCTGCACCGCGCCTTCCCGGCCGAGTGCCCCTACCCTCACGTCCTCGAGGATGCCGCCGCCAGCACCCCGGGCCACTGGGCCGGAGGCAGGGCGACGGCCTCGCGCGAGGAGCGGCACAGGCACGTGGAGGCGGACGACGGCGAGGCCGAGGTGCCCGTGGCGCCCACGGCCTGGAGCGAGGAGGAGGTGCTTCCCGTGCACGAGGCGCCCAGGCCTGTCCGCAGCGCCCGGAGCGGCCTGGCGCTGTGGGTGGTGCTCGCGGCGGCGGCCATGGCCGTGCTGCGCTCGATGCTGGCCGTGTGGCGGTCCGCCATGGCCCTGTCCGGCGCGGAGAAGGAGAAGGGCTACGTGCTGCCGATGCGCATCTGAGCCGCCCAGCAGCCGTCGAGCGGGAGCTGCTGCTGCTCATCCTGCTCATCCTCGTTGTCTTCCTCCTGCTCCTCATCGTTGTCAAGACGGGGGGGAAAGCGGGAGTGGTGAAGGAGGAGGATGAGGATGAGGAGTAGGAGGATGAGGATGATGATGAGGGCCACATATGATGATGCTGCTGCTGCTGATGATGATGATGATTCTGATGATGTTGACGTTGATGCTGCTGCTGATGATGATGATGGTTATGATGATGGTGGTGATGATGATGCTGATGATTCTGATTATGTTGATGTGGATGTTGATGATGCTGCTGATGATGCTGATGATGATGATGGTGATGGTGGTGGTGGTGATGATGATGGTGGTGATGCTGCTGCTGCTGCTGGCGCTGATG